AAAGCAACCCCAGAATTTAATGTTGATAATAAGCTCCACATGAAGTAACATAGCGATATGTTACCAAAACCTATTGTCATCCTAGAAGGGTGGTATCTACAGTAATTAGTTATCTTATGGCATCTCTGCTGGTCAATCCTCACCTACAGTATTTTGTTCCATTCTGGCATCATGCTTAAAGAGGGAAATTGACATAGCAGGGTGCATAGAGACGAGAAAAGCGGGACCCATGAAAACCACGACAGCTTCCATGCCGGTTCTCCACACTATTCTCAGGGTGGTTTCCCTTGAACACACATAGGCTCACATCACTCATTTATTTAACATCTTCAGAGCTCTTTCTCCCATTACCTACAGAATAAAACCTAAGACTTTCCACATTCTAACCCTATCTCTGCAGCTCCATTCCCTCTATTCTTTCAGTGGGCTTGATGCCCTGGCCGCCTGTCCCCCTAAGCTTACCAAGCTGGTTCTCACTTCCTGCTTTCTCTCATTTCATGCCCTCCTGCAGGCTCCCAAAGCACCTATTTTTTCCCCTGTGTTCTTGCCTTAACTCACTATGTCATTGTTGCCTTTTTTTCCTACTGATATCCCAAACTAGACTGTAAGCTACTTCAGGGCAATGCTGCTTTTTTCACTCTTATTTTCTTACTTAGAGCAGATCTTGCCACAAAGCAGGTATTCAGTAAATATGAGGTAAATGAATGAAAGGGGAAATAAATGAATCGGTGCTGGTTCTTCTGACTAGAATGCCCTCCTTTTCCATTTGTCCATCTGGGAAATCTCATTCATTGTCCAAAGCGGCCAGCTCAGGCAACAGGCGTCCTGAGAATCCTTCCCGCTGCTGCAGGTGTTCACTTCCTGTAGCACTTGCCACGTGGCACCACAGAGCACTCAGGGCCTTGTACTTATGTGCCTACCTGGTCACTCTATCTTGTTCCTCTTCATATGCTCAGGATGAGGAATGACTATAGCAACTGAGACTGTAGAGCACAGAGAAAGGAGAAACAGGATTTTTTTAATTAGGAGATTTAAAAAAAGAGATGGCCGTTTGGCCTTGGTGTTGCAGTGGTAACACATCTATGAGGGGTAAAGTGGATAGCTCTCCAGTCTCTTCCAACTCTGGGTCTTTGTGACTCTTGAGCTCTGGAATTCAACAGAGTTGTCCTATCACTGAATTGATAGAGTCTTGCTTCAGGCTAAGTGGCCCCAGGAAAGGGCTTGGAAGAAGCATGGCCCCCTTTGCAGCGGGCAGATTGTGGTATGAGAATAAGTGAGACGGTCACCGTCTGGGGCAGCAGAGAGGTCAAGGGAGAAGTTTCTAATCTCTCCCTGGCCTTACGGGAAGAAAGCTTCCCTGGTCCCACAGGGGTTGCTGGTGATGGAGCAGCTCGTTACAGCCTGCCCCAGCAGGCTCACTCCAAAGCCAGTCTGATTCAGGGAGCTCTGGCCACCGCAGACCTTTGTCTCCCTGCACTTGGGGTGTGGAGACACAGCCTTGTGCCAATGCCCCAGTTCATTCGGGCTCAGGGCAGGTCTGAATTCTCACAGAGATCTAGCGGGAGGTCATCAGTGTGGGAAGAGAAAGGTCATGGCAAGACTGAATGTCCCTGTGACCCTCAGCTGCAGGGCCACTTTGGCCCTGGGATATGGGTGGAGGGAGGGGTGGGAGGTCAGGGGGGATATATCCACAGAACCTCTCTGCCAGCATTCTTTAGTCACGAGATGAGATTTCCAGGAAATCTGTGGGTCAGCATAGCAAGAGCCTGGCCTCAGCTTTCAGGCCATTAATAAAGGTTCAGAGGACATGGTACCTTGTCCTCAAAGGCTCAGCTTCCTGGAAAGGGCATGCAGAAGACTGTTCCCTCTGTATTGAGCCTGCTTGGGTCTGCCAGGTGTCTACAGGTCTGCACTCTGAGTGTGGGATAAGAACCATGCTGGCCGACAGGGAGCATTTCTAGGTTTGTTTCCTAAGAATAGAAGTGATAAGATAACAGCACTCAGGTTTTCTGTTCCATTCATCTTATCAAAGGGCCAAAGTTTGTAAGTGCGGCGCTCACCTTTACAACCACCTGAGATGACATTTGACGGTTTCAGTGTCCCTCTGAAATGTTCCCCTTGCTTGACTCTCCCTACTTGTTCTCCTACCACCCTGTCCCTAAACACCACACCACCTCCCCTCAATCTCATCACCAGAATCTCAGAAAACAATTCAACTCACAATAAACTAGTAAAACTCTTAAGCTGAGTTCCCTTCTTTGTCTTTGCAGTGAATTGGGGGCCCCTAGTGGCCCCTAAAGCTTGCATCAGTAACTTGCTTCTGCCCTGTCACACTCAGCAGCAGGTCCCAGCTCGCTCGGACAAGGACTGGCCTGACTCCACCGTGGACCCTGGGCTGGAACTGGCCTGTGTGATGGTGGAGAACGGTGCCCTCGGCTCTCAATTCTGGGAGGCTGCTATTCTAGGGAGAAATACAGATCTGGTAGACTATTTTTGAAGAGCAGTTAAAAACGATTTGTAACTGTAAGCACCTACCCAGAGAGTTGATTGGATCTTTACAAAAACAACATCTGGGACTTCCCCGGTGGCCCAGTGGTTAAGAATCTGCCTTCCAATGCAGGGGACACAGGTTCAATCCCTGGTCAGGGAACTAAGATCCCACATGCCGCGGGGCAACTAAGCCCGTGTGCTGCAACTACTGAGCCCACATGCTACATCAAAAGATCCCGCATGCCACAAAGAAGATCCTACGTGCCGCAACTAAGACCCAACACAGCCAAATAAATTAATTAATTAATTTAAAAATAAATAAATAAATAAAACATCATTTAAAAAAATCTGTTGATTGTTATCTCAGTGCCTGTCACACAGAATCCATTCAATCAGCATTTGGCAGATGTCCTTTGAATTTGTTCTATCGACAATAATTTAATGGACAACAAACATTAGTTCTGGATACTGAGGGAGAAATAAAGAACAATGTCAAGTTCCAGTCCTCCACTGTCCTACAATCCTGTGGTGGAAGAAAGACATGTATTTGAAGAGTAAAATCCCACTGCAAGGCAATCTATGACTAGGGCACATCTGTGCGTTGCGGTCCTGCAGGCTATAAGAGCTGAGGGATGTTTTGCTTGGCTCAGCTCACCAAGTTGGCTGGGTCCTACCCAGTGTGCCCCAGGGCCACATACAGCAACTATGCAGGGCCATGACTTCAACCTGTGGAAGGAGATGACCACATCCTCCTCTCTCTAGATGTTAAGGTCCAATTCTTCCAGCTCTAATTTGGCTGGAAACACTGTATAAACATCAGAGATGATGTCATAGGGGAGGATTACAGAGGATATGTTGGTGTTACATTATTTAATTTTGTCAGTGAGCATGATAAAGGTAATGGATTGGAATTGCTATAATGTTTTTGATGCTTTGCCACGAGGAAATTGTTAAGGAAGGAAGCTTGCCAAGGGTCATGAAGAGGAATCCAAAGCAAAATCAACACTAGGAAGTTCTCCCCTTTCAGATCCTTCTGCTGCCTCTGTACCAGTTCATTCTGGAAATCATAGCATGACCAGACCAGTGGGCAAACCTCATCCCTGAGTGAATCTCTTACCCGCTCCAAACAGATGGGACATCATACCTTCAGCTTTCCACTCATGAGCAGACTGCCCTTCTTAGCTGACCTCTGCGTGGTCAGTCTACCACCTGTCAATTGTGTTTTCTCTTCCCTCTAGTTCTGGGCTCCCTGGAAGAAGATACTCATACAAGTATCTGTGGTGTTACTCGGATAGTTTCTGCTGTTTGCAAGATGCCACTGTTCTGGCCTTTAGTTAATTTCTCTGGTTCTTGACACAATTTATACATTTATGTAGATGACCAATCTCCCCAACCATATTCCTGGGTTCCCCTTTGCCCTGGCCCATCTTGGCCATGTTCAGGTGGGGTCTTTGTGTTTGCAAGTCATCTATGACACCTCCTACGCCACCCTCTTCTTCACGCCTCGCCCTCCTGCCAGACTTCTGCAGACCTGAAATGGAGGAATTGGTGGTTATTCTGGCCTGCAAATTCTCCAGCTATTTTTCCTCTCTTTTTAAAGGCTGGTCACCCTGCGATGCCCACGTGTTTATAGGTGTCTAGCCCACTTGGAACCTGGTTTTGAGCCACATCACTCTCCTGTCCTTATACTCCATGGGGTGAGGGATACAGTCTCTCTGGTTGTGCTCTCCCGTACCCAGCACAGCACAGGGATACTCTAGGTCCTCAATAACTATTTGCTGAGTTAATTAATCAATAACCTAGTCTTCAGGGATTCTCACTTCTACCAGCAGAATGCCTCTTGCCTAATTCCACAGGTCCAAGAAAGTGAAGTCCAGATGTCCTCTCCTGACCCTCTCCCCCTGTCCACCACCTCCTTCCCAGTCCATAAGAAATTTCAGTCTGATCCCCCTTGCAGAACAAATCTATGCTAAAGGCAGAATTTTCTTTGAGGTCACAAGAAAGAATTTCAACATCAGCTGAAAATAAGCCTCCCGGGTCCTTTGTGATTTCAGTATTTGGCCCTTTGAACTTGTTGCTCACCTTCAGGCCTGGAAATCTCACTCTTTCATCTCTTTCCAAGACTGGTGTTTTTCAGGTGAATTGGTTGGGGGTAGAGGGCAGATATGGGAGGGTGGGATGTGGCTTGAAGGAAGGTAAGGGATCTTTTATTTATAAATGGTCTTTGGCACCACTTTGATTTTCAGATGTCTTTGATTTCTCATCTGATAGATTTTCAGTGTTGTTCCCAAGTGTCAGTAGCCTTTTCCCCAGTTGCAAACATGTCAGATGGCTGTGCCTATCCCTGAGGCATGAGAGCGGGTGGAGGCAGACAAACAGTCCAGCGGGTGCAGGCCGAGGGAGGGCTGCCAGAGCGGGAGCAGGTGAACAGAGGAGCAGCGAGCCGTTCTCTGGAGCCCACAGCCCGCTGCGCCCACCCCCCAGCCCTGTCCCCTCAACGCATCGCAATCTCCTTGCAGACAAGGCTTCCACTACAGGCCTCTTGCTTCTCTGACGCACAAAGAATGTCTGGCTTGATAACCATTTATTCAGTGATTATAGGATTAACTGCAACCTGCAGCAGAGGTAAGCCTTTACACAAAGGTTTTGCTTTGGTTTTTTGGAAGGGAAAAGAAAATATAGAACAAACAAACATATTATCCATTAATGGGCACTTTCAACTTAGGACTCCAGCAATTTAGTTATCAGCGAGGATGTCCTCGTGCAAGGAGGTAATCAAGTTCAGGCTGTAGTGCCCACATCCCTCCTTTTCCTCACAGGCTCAACCTTTGATTGCAGTTGCCATGGCAAGAAAATTGTTGCAAGAGAACAAGAGAATGATGGTGCCTGTACTTGGGAAGTGAGATGTTTATGAACATTCACACTTTCCTCTTTTCTCTGCTAGAAAATAAGAAGGAATGGGGGACAGGAAGCAATCTCATGTTCTCTATTATGTGCCAGGCATGAGGCTAGTTGCTTAACATATATATTGTATGAAATATGTATGTACGTGTGTGTATAAAGCCCTTTTCATTGTGAACTACAACTCACCTATCAAAGAGCGCACAAAACAAAGATGTTCAGCTAATTGCATGTGCAGAACTATTTGTAGAAATGTGTTCTTCCTTGAAAGAGGATTTACATTTGCTTCTGCCGGGCAGTTGGGATGGTTCTAATCCGAAACACCTGGGAGGGTTTGTCTAATTTTAATTCTTCCTTCTTCAGCATCTCAGCTCAAAGTAAGAGGATTCACCATTGACCCTTTTCACCCCTGGACTGCAATCCATTCCCTTAGTTCAGCCTCTTAGCTTCTCTCCAACCCCTCAGGATTTACCAAATACTCTCAAGCAGTCCTATCTACCAGTTTACTGCTCTGGGCCTCTATACTGGCCTGGTAATTCTTCACGCTCTTGTTAGCACTCACTTTTTTTTTTTTTTTTAAGCTTTTCTGGTTATCATCAACAGGAAAATTGGTCTGAAATATCTAGTTTGCCATTTTCAAACTTGGGTAGGCTAACGAACTCACTAAGGTCATACATCTTGAATAGCTTCGATAAGGCTGGCTACAAAACTTGTTTCTTTTGTTTTACACTAAGCTCTCCTTTACTCTAACTGAAAAAGAAAGAAAAAAAAGAAAAACACCAGAGCATTTCAAATTGAACCAGAGTTTTACATTGCCAGCTACAGAAGTCAAAATAATCTCTTAATATTTAACTATGAATCTCTTAAGTATGTTCTCTAAATCTTGTCCATCTTTGTATTCTCAGCCCCTAGCAGAGTAATTTCAGATAGTATTTGTTGAGTAAAAGAAGGAATAGGTAAAAGGGTGAAATACACAATTGTTAATGAAGGTACTTTCTACATGGGCCACAGACTCCTCAATCTAATGAACCCCCATCCAGTATATCACAGAATAGCCTCTCTGTCCAAGTTTCCTTTTCAAGATAAAGTTTTAAAATGGTGTGAGTGGAAAAGATCTGTAAGTTCAGGGTCTCCAATCTCAGCTGCTCAAAATATCGTGAGGGATCTTCAAGTTCAAGGCTGGTCTAGCTTCTTTCCAGGGAGCTCTAGGGCTGTAAAGGACTATCAGATGGTGGACTACCAGATGGATCCACCCACTGTCAACCCAGCTTCAATATGCCCTAAACAAAGCTCAGCATCTCTTCTCCCCCCCAAACTTTAAAAAAAATATATTTATTTATTTGGTTAAACCGGGTCTTGGTTGCAATATGCGGGCTCCTTAGTTATGACAGGAGAGTTCCTTATTTGTGACATGTGAACTCCCAGTTGTTGGATACACGTGGGATCATACTCCTACCAAGGAATCAAACCCGGAACTCCTGCATCGGGAGCACCGAGTCTCACAAACTGGGCTAGCAGGAAAGTTCGTCGTTAGATCTATTTTTATCACAGAAATATCAGCCTTGTTTATTCCCACAAGCCTTCAAAGAATTGAGGCAACTGTCATGCTTTTTCCTCCCCATGTGAATCTTTAGTAAAAGATAAAAGATTCATTCGATTATGAGGAGAAACACTAGTATAGATTCCTCTCCCCCCCCCACTTTTTTTTTTTTTTTTTTTTTTTTTTTACGCGGGCCTCTCACTGTTGTGGCCTCTCCTGTTGCGGAGCACAGGCTCCGGACGCGCAGGCTCAGCGGCCATGGCTCAGGGGACCAGCCGCTCCGCGGCATGTGGGATCTTCCCAGACCGGGGCACAAACCCGCGTCCCCTGCATCGGCAGGCGGACTCTCAACCACTGCGCCACCAGGGAAGCCCTCCTCTCCCCCTTTTTAATTGCTTCTCCTTCACTTTGTTTACTGCCCCAGTTGGTGCCACTGCTTTTCCCACTTGCCTATACTAGCAACCTAATGGTCACCCCTTATTTCATCCTACCCCAAATCACCAATTTTGATGAGTTTTTAACCTAAATATTTCTCATATTTGTCCTTCTCCTGGACATCTCCACTTTTACTGCTTTAATGTGGGCTCTTTTCAATGCCCACCTGGAGTACAGCGCTGGCTTCCTAATTGGTCTCACCTCCATTCTCTCTGGACCATCCTCCACAGAGTGACCAAACGCAGCACTGCATTCTTTAAAGCTCTCAGGGCTTTCCTGTCACCTGCAGACAATGCCAGCTCCTTTCCAGTTTGTAAAACTCTTCATAACCTGGCCCCTGCCTACCTCTCAAGACTCATGTTCCCTTTTTTGAAGCTCATGTTCTAAAATTACCAAATATATTATGCTTCCAAACATTTCTGTTATTCCTTCTGCATGAATTTCTCTTCCTTCCCTCACTTCTTCACCTGCTTAATTTGTACTCCTTCTTTAAGAATCAGCTTCCCCAGGCTAGTCCAAGTGATCTTTCAGTGTGCTCCCAAGGTAGACCTCAATAATAAAACACAACCCATTATATTGAAAAGGTTTTATATTTATCACTTTCACTAATCTGTAATAAATTGAAGGTATTCTAGCTTAGTGGTGGCACTTAATAGGCCTTTAATAACCTCTAGGTGTTCGTTCTTCAGTTTGAAGAGTTTAATTGAATAATAATATTTAAGATTAATCAGAATTAGAATGCATATAGTCCAAGTATCTTAGTCATTTCAATAGGTGGTTTGTTATGTTGTTTCTTGAGTTTATTTTTCTCTTATCACTATTAATAAGCATTAATATTATATTATTGCTACCTTAAAGGTATATTATATTTGCTACCTTATTAATCTTTATTTTATTATCTGAAAAGTTGATTTTTTTACATAACTGGATGGGCGTATTGAGAGTGAGATCTCATTTTCTCTTTTTAGAGCCCTCACATATTTTGATGTTTTTTTCATTCTCCTTCTTCATGGAAAGAGACTTGTGTTTTTTTACTGTGCCCCACAGCATGGAGCTTTATTGATTAATATGTTACCTTTGCTAATATGTTACCTTCCTTCTAGTAGGATTGGGTCCTACACTGTTTTATGTCTTCATTCATTCCACGTGCTAACAAATTCCTTATATCTGTGTCCTGGAAGCCCCTGATTCCTCAGAGTAAAATCCTTCCTTCAGCAGAAATGAGAAATACCCTTGCTGGTTATTCTAGTCGCAAGAGCAATATTTAGTCTTGTTCTCCTCACCCTGCCATCAATCCTGGGTATCACTGTCAACCTTCTTGCCTTTGATGTAAAAGTCACAGCTTGCCTTGGCTTTCTGACTGACAGTAATGGTGGTGCCTGCTTCAATGCCTATCACCAGTGGTTGGAAGAGGCAAGAAGGATATGAAGGGAATGGACGCTTTTTACAACTGACTTGGCCTGTACTTGGTTTTATTGCTTTATTCCCTTACAACTTATAATGCTTGAAAGGCAGTACAAAAGTTCATCAGCCCAGTGTCTGACAGTTCAGAAACTAGTAACCTTCAGACTGATGTTCCCTCCATTGACTTACTCCGTGTGGCCGATTAAACTTTCCAAAAATGGCCACAGCTATATTTCTCATCCTACGTGCTATTCCAGGACCTGTCAGTCCCCCATCAAGAAGTGAAGTCTATCTCCTCTCCCTTCAAACCTGGGTGGATCCTGTGACACCCTGGATGAGTATAACATAATAGAAGTGACACTGAATAACTTCTGAGGTTAGGTTATAGAAGGCAGTCTACACTTTGGGAACTTTGATTCAACCTGTGAGAAGTCCACTTACCCTGAAAGGTCATGTGGAGATATCACATGGAGACAGAGAGAGATGCCCAAGGAACCCCAGCTCTTTCAGCCTCCAGTTTTGTGTCTTCCCACCCTAGTAACAGAGATGTGAGTAAGTGAGCCTTCAGAGGATTCCAGCTCCTCTGATAGATCCTCACAGGATCCATCCTGTGAGGGTGGATCAAAAGTTTCCCTCCATATCTCTCCCAAATTGCAGACTTATGAGCAAAATAAATGCTGTTGTTGTAAGTCACTAGGTTTTAGAGTTGTTCGCCATGCAGGAACATATGGGCAGAACACGCCTCATCGTCAGAGCTCAGACAGAGACTCTCATTTGATGCCTTTTCTGTAAAGGTGGAAATTTGAGATTCTAGATGTGCCCTTAGATGGCAGAATGGGATGATAAGTCAGAGGGCTTTAAACTCTTTGTGTTGAGGCTTCTGTGTGAAAATAACACTGGAGATACTTTTTCAGGGCCCTTTGGAGGCTGGGAGAAAGAAAGAGGAATTAAAGTGGACCAGAAGGAAGAGAAGCATGGGACAGACAGGCTATTCCCGGTACCTCCACATCAGAGGACGAGAGACTACCATTTCTTTCTCTGTGTCATGTATTACGATCCCAATTCCCTAACAGTGTTCACTGCCCTAGAGAAGAACACAAGAGCCTTACCTTTCCTAGCGCATGATTCTCCTTACAGAGAAAGAAGACTTGTCTCTTTCTTTTCATTTGCCACTTATATTTTTAGGGCATCTGACCTCAGGGATCAGGAGAAAGGTGGGTGACTGTCCAGGGTGCTGGCTGAGGATTACCATGACTATTGGATGTCTCTTGCTCCTGACACGCTTTGTTCTTCACAGGAACTCACATCTATAGGCTCAGTGACTTACAATGACAAAGGCATCCTAGACCTTAAGATGATCAAGGATTTGTCACTAGGTTTCATATATTTAGTTTTAGGATGTGATACAAAGACCAATCTAAAAAGGAAAACCACCATTTGTTCATTTCTTTACCTTAGTACCATACAGACGCCTCTGTGTAGGGGTGGGGGGTGGGAGGTGTAGTATAGGTACTCAACAGAACAGGGACTAAACAAGTTCTCCTAGAAGGGTTGAGGTATTTTACTCATGGACAATGTAACATTCCTTATACTGGAATCTCAAGTAGGCTAATCAGAATTCTCTTCTGCATGTTTCATTGAATATCTTTGTTCACTGTCACTGGATGTGGACATAGGCATCCAATGTGCCACTGTCCTGGAAAGGGCAGACTGGGAACACTTGAGTCCCAGAATCTGGGACATGCAGTTGGAGGATCAGTTGGTCTACCTTTCTCTTTCCCCCTCCTATCTTCCTGTCCCCCCATGTCCTCTCTCTACAGTCCTTTCTTTGCTGTGCAAGACCACATCCTAGGGTGGAAGTAGAGGTAGAAATTGAATGGTAATGACAAGTTCCTGTGGGGGCAGGAGGATAGGCTCCACCCACCCCACTGTGCTTCACAGTCACCCATGTGGCAACTGTGGTGAGGTGGTGAGGGAGAGCACTGCATCTGAAGGCAGACCTGTGTTCAGATTCAGCCTCTGAGGTTTGATGGCTGTGTAACCTCAAACCAGTCATTGAGTCCCTTTTTATTTTCTCATCTGTAAAAAGATAACTCAGCCTGCTGAGACTTGTTGTGAGGACTAAGTGAGATGATGTATTAGAAAGAATTTTGTAACCTATGAAACACTCTACTAATGAATTACTATGTCTGATAATGAAGACATAAGAAGGGATGAAGGGGTGAATCTAAGGGGCTATTGAAGGCAGCAACAATGAGCGGACAGATGGGAAGAGAGGAGAGACATCCTCACAGGCAGAGGATATCTGCACCAGAGTTCCTGCCAGCTGGGTCTAACCCAGTAGAGGGAAAGCAGAGGCTCACCTGGAGGTGTGCATGTGCCCAAACTGAGGCAACAGGTAAGAGGGGAGAGCAACTGAATAATAGCAGTCATGTGCCCCACACTGGCTAAATGCCGGAACTGTGCTGAAGCCTTACCTGCTCATTTACTTCTCAGGACAACTCTGTATAACAGGTGTTAGTATCCTTACTTATAGAGAATAGGTTCTGATAGGTACAAGAAATTTCTAAAAACCTCAGATCAAGTAAATGGCAGAAGATGGATTCAAATCTAGATTTTTCAGACTCCAAAGCCCCAGCCAGGAAGATGGAGAAAAGGTTTTATTTTGTTTTAATGAATTTTTATAACAAGGAGGAGAGTCAGAAAAACCTACTGTGAGGCAGTTCATAAAGCTGAGGTTTCAAAGAACCAGGGTGAGTGAAAGAAAGTAGGTGGTGGGACAAGTCAGAAGGTCCAGATGAGCCACAGAGACAGAGGCATATACCGTCCTCCCTGTGGGATGGCTCGTGGGTGAGCTGGATGCATTTAAAGTGCTGTGGACAGAGCAACATCCTGCAGCCTATTCTAGGTGAGGACCAGAAAGTCTTCATCCTGGGTCTACCTGTGCTCCTGTTCTTCTCTTTTCATTGCAGTTAATAGTATTAGTGAATGGCACAGACCAGCACTTACCACAGTATATTCCAGGGCACGTTAGTTCTGTAAGATGTTAATGGATAGGACTCGGAAAAAAGGGTCAAGTAAATTCACTTCAATTTAATTTAAGACATTTTTTGAAAACCCACAACAGGGCTGTGAACTACAAATTCAACCATGAAAAATACAGGTAAAGTTCTTGTCCTCATGGAGCTTGTAGCCTAACAGTCAAGTAAGTTTGGATATGTTATACCAAAGTGATGTAGGTTTCTTTACTGCAAACATTTCAGGGTTTTATGATACATGCATTTCAACTTTCCAAGAGGAAAGTAGAGTATGCAGGGTATACTCTATGCAAAAAAGGGTACAGAGTATGCCAAATATCTGGCCATGCAATCCTATTTTATTTGCCATAAAGTCTCTTCTCATGACCCCAGAGCTGGTGTTCTGCAGCAAAAGCCTGGAGGAGATGCTGGGGGCAGATAGAGAAAGAAGGACATACACCACCTCCACCTTGCTACATGTCACCACCATATTGGTAATGTGACCAAAAGAGATGATGGATAACATTTAAGCCCAGGACATGGCATTCAGGTGATGTAAATGTGGGGGACAGTGGTCCCCGTTTGTGGACATTAAACGACAGCTACCTCTCGACACTGAACTCTGATGGAGAGTCAAGGTCACCTAGAAATTGCCAGAGGAAAGTCTGAGGGGGTGGATGGTTCTCTAAGCAGGACGGAGAGACTCACTGGGCCAACGGAGTAGCAAGAGATGGAGGCATAGAAAGTGGTGAGTGAGGAGCGGGTAGGTCCTTTCCTCCTAGGCCATGAGAGAGAGGGAGTAGCGTTTCTTGTCAGAGTCTTACAGGAGGACCTAGGTGGCAGCTGTGCTGGCGTGGGCCTGAGGGTAGAGCATGTTCCATCTTGCATATAATATAGACAGAAGCACTCACTTGAGTCAGCCATGGGCCAGCAATCGAAGTTTATCACTCAGGCAAACAAGCCCAGGAAAAGAGCTGACAGATGGCTAGTCTTTTTTTTTTTTTTCCTTCTCCACGAAGACATTTTGATCTTGGTTACCCTCTGGGTTTTTCCTCTCTTTCTCTGATCCTGTCGCTCTCACGAGATGTGCCCTGCACAGGCGTTACATAACAGACGGCCTGCAGGGAACACCTATACAAGAGGGCATGACAGTCAGACAATGGGCGGGCAGAGCTGCCCTGAGAAAATGGAGTCATTCATGAGGCCTGTGAGAGGCGGCTCTGTTCCCAGCTTGGCTCGCTGGTAAATGAAGTGCGCTGGGGACAAAGAGGGAAACTTTACACTCTTGCAATTTTCCCACAGTGGCAGGCTCACAGAAAAACAAGGCACTAGTTGGCTTAGAGGAGAAAAGGCAACCATATCCATAGACTTTGCTTTCTCTCCCAGGTCGGTGTCTTGTGCCAAAACCACAGAATAATCTCCCAGCGAGGGAACAGCAAGGCTGACTTGCTGTGGGCCTAAAAGGCAGAAGCCAGAGGGTATGTATGGGTCTGCCTGCTGCTCCTGTCTGTTTCATCATCTCTCCATGGGTTTTCACTTCTGAATCACTCATATTCTACCTCTGTTCCAGCTCACTTTGCAGGGAAAGAATGTTGTCAGTGAAGACGATGACTCTGAAACAGAAATAACAACATCTCCTCTAAGTGCAAAATGGGCTGCATCTTCTTCCACAGAGCCAGCCGACTCACCTGTTGTCAGGCACTCTTCAGTTCGAGGACAGGAGGACCATTGCTCTAGGCCTGTGTCCGGAGTCACATCCAGAAAATATGTAGCAGCTGGGCCCAGAGGCTCTTTGCATGGGAATTTTGTACTGTAGGTATATTGCTGCTTTGACTTATAAATCACAAAGTGCCAAAAATTTAACCTAAAAGTCATGTGTGTCTTCTAGTGTTTCATATAAGACTAAATTTCATGCCAGGATACCAAAAATATAACAAATAATCTCACATATTAAAGAAAATTCCCAAACCCCACTAAAAACCTACTTATCTTGGTACAAAGCTCTTGTCCAAGTTAACTATTTAAAGAGATTTTTGGAATCCATTGTAGAATGATTGGACACATGGCACTATCCCTACCACTAGGAATTCCACTGTAATCCCCAGGTGCAGAGTGGATCCCGCTGTGGGGTAAGTAAGTATAATATAATCGTATAAGATAGGAAGGTCCCTCTTTACCCTGGAAGGTTTTCTCCTTACCCAGTACCAGAGGATTCCACAGGATAAAGAAGGCGAGAAGAGAGTTAGGAGGTGTAAAACACTTCCAGAATGATATGAAGGCACTAGTGCAGTCCAGTCCGGGATACAAATATAGTAAAATAGACCTGGGTTTGTAAGCTCAGCCCCATATGAGGAGGCTCTGTCCTTCTGGGCACTAAGCCTATGATGTGATCAGGTACCAGCTGAAGAAGATGGTGGTTAAATGCTCTGGAATGAGATAGATGAGTCTGTATCTTAATTTTAAAACTTGGTAACTATGAGACCTTCAGGAAATTACTTTGCTTTTGTTTCCTCAACTGTACAATCAGAATGGCCACAATTTATAGGAAGGTGGGAAGGCGTAGACCAGACATCTGTCCGGGGAGAACTGGAGGACGTGAACTGTAAGGCACCCCCCATCTCAGGCCATTCACAAGACTGAACAGCCTCATGAAGCAGGTGGAAATTTTTTGAGAAGAATCCTCATTGCCTTGGGAAAACTTCACACAGACCAGTATCGTGTCATGCACTGGGGCCTGGAAACCACTGCACAGATTATCTGCTGTGGTTGAATCCTACATTGACTTTAATGATATTCTTTAAAGAGTAACCTTTCAAGTTTTCTCATTTATGCTTCAGGCGTAAAAATGCAGCTTTCACCAAATCCATGGGCCTCCCCTAACTGCTTCCACTTTAGAATTTGAGAGAAGAATCAAAAGCCTGTGGGCTTGCAGCTGATCAGAGAATAGGCAGTCACCAACATGTTTGGAGCACCTATCATGTCTCAGGTACCGTGCAAGACTTCAGTTACTTATGGTACTTACAACAGAGTGGAAGAGAGAGGTGAGGAATTGGGTTAGACGTTACAAGAATGAAGCCTGGGAGCCTCTGGGAGTATGCCTTAACCAGAAGAGCAGTGGCTGGGGAAGATTTTCCAGAGGAGGTGATACCTGAGCTGAGTCTTGAAGAGTATGTCAGCCAGGTGAAAGTATGGGGTGTACCCAGGCAGAAGGAGCCAAGCGTGCAAGGCCATGGAAGGCAAGAGGGCATGTATGTTTGATACACTGCAGTAGTTCCACATGGCTGGAGAATTAGAATGTGGTGAGATGAGACATGGTGAATAGGAGCTGGAGATGTAGACAGGGCCCAGATCTCCATAATATTCCCAATTAGCTCTGAGACATCATTTCTTCCCAAGGAATACCTTCAATAGGGATATTTACTGCTCTAAGCATTTACTGATAATTTAATTCTTCAAATGGAATGGTAAAGCAGAGCAAGACACTGGGTAATGCTTCACATGTTTTCACGTCAGCAGTCCCTTTAATGACCTTTTTCTTTCTAATTTGAAAAGAATTCTTCAGGCAATTTAGTTTATGCTTCCATAACTATTTATCTTCTCTCTACTGACCTTTGAAACTGATCTTTTTTGAAAAAGCTATTTTTGACCAAATTGATCTAGATTACTCATTGACTAGTCTATTGACCACAGCTGCCTTTCAAAAGGGCTTCACCTTTTAAGCTTAATGATAGCTACCATTATTGGGCTACTATTATATGCCTGGCACTGTGCTAAGTGTTTTGAAATATTGTTATTCAATCCTCACAGCAAATCAATGAAAAAGATACTACTATTATTTCTTTTGTAATTTATACATATTTTATCTCATTCTTTTTTTTGAGGTGTAGTTGACTTACAAGATCATATAAGTTTCAGGTGTACAACACAGTAATTCACAATTTTTAAAGATTATATTCCGTTTATAGTTATTATAAAATATTATTCCCTGTGCTGTATAATATACCCTTGTTGCTTATTTATTTTATACATGGTAGTTTGTACCTCTTCATCCTCTCCCCCCTACCTTTCCCCTCCCCCTCCCCCCTCGCCACTGGTAAACAGTAGTTTGTTCTCTATAGCTGTGATACTATTATTATTTCCACTTTACAGATGAGACAAATGAGGCTTGATAAAGTAATAGCTTATAAATGGCAGAACTGGGATTCAATCTGTTTGATTCCAAAATCTCTACTCCTCACCATTTCACTCCACTACTATTTTAAAATACTTTTGAGGGGAACAACTTAAAACAAGATGTATGAGAGTTGCTTCCCGGTGGATAGTCAAGTTCTTAGACCAGAAAACATCTTTTCCTTTGCAGATAGAAGGCAGCTGTTGGGCTGCATCCTGCAGGCTTACAAGGCCAGCTTCAAGACCAAAGAAAGAGCCCAGAGTCAGCCACAGAGACATCAATGGTTTAATGGATGAGGGAGCTTACATGTCTGAAGCAAGGTCCTGGAGCAACGACGGGCAGGACATGGTGACAGTCTTCGCTCCTGGAAGGGGGGCGGGGAGGGGAGATTACCTGTTATAGGGGAATTGATGTCAGGTGGGCTCATTAGTTACCAGGGAAACCAGTAGAGGGTCACACCCCTCACCACCCCTTTGATAAGAACAATCAGTAGCTGGGGTCTGGGACAAGTACATAGGAAAGTCAGTCATGTGTATAGGGTACAGGTGAAGCAGGCACTGGTCGGGCAGGGGATGTGCTCTCTTACAGAGAGCAAGAGAACAGCCATCTTGAGCGGCCTGACCATATAGCAGCAAAGCAGCAAACAATCAGTGAATGTTTTAAGAGGTGATGGGGGAGATAGGAGGTCAGAAAAGAACTTCTCTCTGTGATGTGAAAACTTGAGTTAAGATACCTCTGAAGAATTTTAATGCCAATTTTCTGTAAAACTCTCATTCTTTGAAGTATGGACTTTAGTTAATAATAATGTATTGGGACTTCCCTGGTAGCACAGTGGTTAAGAATCCACCTGCCAATGTAGGGGATACGGGTTTGAGCCCTGGTCCGGGAAGATCCCACATGCCGCGGAGCAACAAAGCCCGTGCACCACAACTACTGAGCCTGCGCTCTAGAGCCCATGAGCCACATCTACTGAGCCTGTGTGCCTAGAGCCCGTGCTCCGCAACAAGAGAAGCCACCGCAAGGAGAAAGCCCACACACTGCAATGAAGAGTAACCCCCGCTTGCTGCAACTAGAGAAAGACTAGGCGCAGCAACAAAGACCCAACGTGACCAAAAATAAATGAATAAATTTATTTTCAAAAATAATAATGTATCAGTATCGGTTCCTTAATTGTAATAAATGTACCATGCTCATGTAAGATGTTACTCATAGGGGAAACTAGGTGAGGGGTATATGGGAACTCTGTACTATCTTTGCAATTTTTCTTCAAGTCTAAAACTATTGTAAAAAATAAAGTTTGTTTTAAAAAACCTCATTCTCCAAAGCCACATAAATATTCCAGACGAGCTTTTATTCTTAGAAACATCCAGAAACAATTGATTTGCTAAGATCATGGCCCAGATTAGAATGAGCCGTAATTATTAATGATTAAAGTTTAGTGCAGAAGTTCCAAATTTGTACACTGGAGTGTTTATGTATCTCTAAATCTATATGTGTATGGATATATATATATATATATGTATATATATCAGTGATTCCTGTTGCTCTTTATTTTGTAGACAAAGCATGATTGACAAAAAGTATGTGTCACACACTTTTTTACCTCGTTATCTATATCTTTGAACTGCATGTTACTGACCCACGTCCCTTTATCCATCTCTTAAGAGCTGTTGAATTAGTCAAACTGCCTGGGGTTGAAGAGGAGGCTTCCAAAGAGCTGATCTCATAAATTCAAACTGGCAGGCTGGCCAGTTCTCAGGCACATGAAAGTGTTCTCTGGTGCTAAACACCCCATTCTAGTTGTGCCCATTTGGGGGGCATGGTTGATACAGCCTTGATGCATTCACTGGGCTGCTTTTCCCTCTCATCTACCCTGCTCCAGCCAGATTAAGGAGAGCATGTATTATGAAGAAACCAACTCCCTTAGTTAAGATTATTCAACTCCTTGTTACTCTCATCACCTTTCTCCAGGTGGAGATCTGAAGGGTCTGAGGAGGGAGGCTTCCTGTTGGAGGTTGTATAGCCAGGCTGGAAGCCAGCAGTTGGACAGAGGGAGAAAGATGCTCAAAAAGGCTTGCTTCCCAGGGCCCCATCCCAACCACACCACTTCTCTTTTTTTTTAGATAACAGTGTAAGGAGGTTGGTCAACATGAGTTTAATTATTATCCAGAAAACCATTAAGGGCTGGATGAGCTCACTCACAGAGGCCACTGGATTTCGGAAGCAGGGATTTTTATTTCCTCTGGACTGGGAGAGTTGAGTCATATAAAAGAACCCAAGCTTTACTGAATTCAGACCCACAATTTGTTTCCAGCCAAAGGTCATCTTGAAGCAGAGTGGGAAGCAAAGCTTCCCTATAAGAAGAGGGTTAGGCTCTGAGCTTGGTTCCCCTATTTACATTCAGACAATGGGAGGGCGGTTGACTGTTTTTACGGTGTGCAAAATAGTTCTCAGTGTATTTAGTTTGCTCTCTCTGCCATAATGCTTATGTGGTACCCCCATAAATCTCTTCTCTTTTTAGGGGCCTACTGACTAGCCCTTCTATAGATTGGGATCTAAAAAAGGCAATTCCTTCTTTGGTGTGAGCTTTTTCAGAATGCCTGTGCAATGAATAAGAATTTGCTGGCCAT